TTCAATTATCTAACTGGTTCATTTAGCAATTGTATGAACTACTAAAGCTATTAAAACAACGAAAGATGACAACACAATTTAACTAAGACAAAAGCAAGAAAATAAGACGGTGGTCATATTCGAATGCCCTAGCTAGTTATCAAGGATCAATCAAACACAACAAAAGTATGATATTCTTATTCCCAGACCGTAAAAATTTCCAAAATTTCCATAACTTGACACCATCGCGTATTAACACTCTATAAATCAATTAACCCTATAGTATTTTTCTCCTTGATCTATAATAAATTTACCAAAACATTAAGTCGTTCTTTGAATTTCCGTATTGGGTTTGACTCCAAACTAGAGGTCGTTCGTCTTTCATATCCTGATAGTCTGATAAATTTTCGTAATCCTGAGTGTTTTATCATGCATATAGGGATACCCTTATTGTCATACATATGAAACATATAAGAAATCAATAACCTATGATCGATTGAAAACTCGCAAGATAAATTAATCAAAGATCAATAGAAAAATAGACATTGTATCTATATTAAAACTCAATCAATTTATAATCACATAACTAGGGTTCATCACTTCCAAACAACAAAGATGTTTACTTCATAGGGAATGGAGATACAAATAAAGAAGAATAAGAAGAAATCTCTATGGTTGATTGCATCATTGATTCCTTCGAGGTTGAACTACTGAAAAATTCATATTTTCTCCTCTCTCGCTCCTATTTTGGGTTTTAGATAAAAAAAAGTGGTTGAAGTCTTCTGAAATTTCCAAAATAATCATAACCTGACACCATGGTGTATTAACAATAGATTTTGATATTCTCCTTGGTCTAGAATTAATTAGCCAAAGCATTAAGTCATTCTTTAAGAAAATCATAAAATACTTTTAAATAGGCCTCATGTCATGCCTGAACACAGGCTTGAACACGACTGTGGGACAACCTTGAAGACCTTTCATAAATTGAATTTTCAACTCTAAAAAGCAATTTTTTATACATTGGAGCAGTCAGCTTCATGGTCGGGGTGGGGGCTTGGAAATATTCATAAAATCAACTTCAACCATGTCACAAATGCTCCAAAACTTCAATCATTAGTGCATTTTTGTCCAAAATATCATCAAATTCAACCTCAATGACTTGAAACGCACTAAATCAACAAACAAACCATAAAACTAACAAAATATAGAAATGTTGTTGAAATGACATTGAAAGGAAGTGAAAACATGTAGAACATATGTGTTTTCAAATCACTTACACTTAAGTCTTTGCTTTTTGTGAAGCAAATCATTAAAAATAAGTTTACCAATAAAAAAACATTTACGCAAGTTTGGTTTAAAATCATTGGGGCGCATTAAAAGATGAATCACAAATGTTCATTAACACCGATACACAAAATATATAGCATAATAGAGATGCTAACAAACACGATGAATGTCATTTGATTGCAATATTTTTATGAGCTGGGAGACTCCTCCACATACTCATAAAATGCTATGTGAACCTGAACAAGTCGTTCGGTATCCACAATCATCCAACCACATAAACCAAGAAACAAACAATTGAAGATGAGATTACTAGGATTACAACGAGACTTTTACATATTTGAAAAAATTCAATCAAACACTCGACCAGTAGGGCCATGACAAACATTCATGCAAAAAGTTGTGCATTTCATTAATACTCGACCCTATGATGGCACTAAAATTATAGTATTTATCACTCCCATATTTGATACATTTTCTCCTTGTATCAATGCATCTTAAGTATATATTACTTGATTTCATATGAATATCATAACTATTTGATCAATTTGTCTAAGATAGACCTTGAGTATGTTTTTGTACTATTTTACGTCTTTTGGTGTTGTTTTGTGTTTTTCATAGATATAATACACTCAAGATGAACAGGGATCATCAATGGATCTGAAGCAGGATGAGATTACAAGCTCCTAAGCTCAAACAAAGATGAATTTGGAGTCCATATGCTCACTTTATGGCCTAGAGAAACATATTGGACAGTGTAGCAGGCTTACCTTTGACGAAGGTCAAAGTGGGTCAAACGAATTCCAAATGAGCTGAAATTTGGTATGTATCCCATGGACAAATTAAGAAAACAAACCACCAAAATGTAGTCCACTTAGAGACAATAAGTCCTAAAAAGACGTGCAAATTGGTGATGTCATGCTCCAAACGCGGCCAAATTCGGTAGGGAGATACTTGGGACCTTCTAGAAGCAACCTACCGACTTTTAGCGCAATCCAAGTACGGGAAGTATACAACTTCTTTCCGAAGACTTACTTAAAAAATTATGAATTTAGTATAAATAGAGGCTTAACCTAAGAGTTTTAGACACACATTATACCACCACTCTGCCCTAGGGTCATGAGTTTGAAATTTAGAGAGAGGAGGCAAAGTTCTGCTGGAATTCAATGAGGGCCGATGTTGCACCACCAATGCTCTTCATCATTGGTGATGTCTTCCTATTCTCTTATGCGTACTAGCTCTGTATTGTATAGAGATGTGAATTCTTTGATGTTTTATGAATATACTTTCTATGATTTAGTAAGATGCTTATTTAATTCAATGCTCTATTTCGTTGATGCTTGTATCATTAGATGCTTTATTGGATGCATACTTTAATCATCTCTTGCTTATTTCATTGATGCTCTATATCATCTAATGTTTTAACTACTCTATGATTTATCATATATTATGTCCAATTATAGCATTGCTCATAATATCATTGTATATTGCATGAGAAATCCAAATTATGTCATCTATATCATCTCGACTATGTTTAATGCTTGATACCTTAGATCATCAATGTTATAGACAATCACTATGGTTCTCATAGGCCCTAAAAACTGATGTGCTATTCATACTTCCTTGATTAATTAGTCTAGTGGCATGAAGAAAAAGCATGCATTAGTTAATTACAATTCCTATTGCATGAGGTGAAAACTCGAATATGATGACCTTAGTAGGGATAAGGTTACATTATAGAAGGTGCATAGCTACATCTTATAATGATATTGTATGCATGATCATCTAGATAACACTACCTAAACAATAGCTTTTACCCTTGCATCTTTCATTTATTTCATTCTTGTGTAGCGAAAGATTGTATCTCGAACACTAAAAGGCACCTCAACCTAATCGAATTTACTTTTACTCGCATTGTTATCTCAAGCACAAATTATGAGGTTTGACTAGTCACTATAAAAAGACCTTGTCAAATATGACCTTAGTTTCGTATAGGATTTATTGCTTGTTTGCTTACTACGCATCACTCTATCGTCTCTTAGCCATGAAGTTAACTCCTAAACATTTGCAATTTGTTCGAGTCTTCAAAAGTGGCTGACCATTAATTTGTTCGGAAGTCTTTTAATTGGAGTGTAATGTGCTTTGAGTCCAAGACATAGGGAATAAGCTCTTTAAGGTGGTGGGAAAATTCACTGCTCAAGGTCCCACATATACCAAACTGATACCACATAAAATATCTTTTTTTTTGGGTCTTTCTGCTATCAGAACTTGTGTTGCACAAGATAATTGGAGGAATTTTTTTCAAACAATAAGAGTTTACCTAGCCACTGAAAATGAAGAAAGACTCATTTTAAAGTGCAAAAAAAAAAAAAATCATCCATAACTCAGTTTTCAAATGCAAGCAAAATATTATAATGTTGTCTTATAGATGACATCCTTGTGCTTTCTAATCTCGTGGTACCTTGCTCTTAGGTCCAATTTACTAAAAAAATTGGCTCCTTGCAACTCATCCAACATATCTTTTGTGGAAATCGAGAACCTGTCCTTCACTATAGCATCATTCAAGGTCCTGCAAAAGCGCTACATTTCATCCTTCTTCTTCAATAGCAACACGAGTGATGAAAAAGGGTTGGAACTCGGTCGAATCAACCCAATAATTAACATCTATTCCAAATGTTGCTCAATCTCGGTCTTTTGGGAGTATACATAGCGGGAGGGGCGAACATTAACAATATGTGTTCCCTTACTTAGCCAGACATGATGATCGACCTGGAAGGTATGAGGCAATCTTGCAGGTTTATCGAATAATTACGCACACCTATTTAGCACCCCCTGCAAATCTGACGAAACCTTCATTTTGGGCGCGACAATGGTCGTCCAACCGAGCACGACCAATTTTGCCTCACTTGCCCACTCGCAACTCCACAAATCCATATATCTTGTCATTGCGGCTGGCCCTGTAATAGTTGAACAACATAGTCATTCTATTCTAGTCACTAGTAATTGGTCCCAAACTCTTCAGGCCCGAAACTCCAAGTACACCATCAAATCCTTGTAAGGACAAGACAAATAGGTCAACGATTACCTCTAATTCCTGTATAATCAAAGGAACAACTTGGTATTGTTGTCTACATTTCAAGACGTGCATCCAACTGGAGTCCACTTCCGCGCTGAACCGAAGGATGGTCGAAGATGCGACCTCGACCACCAAATGCACAGAGATGATCGTTGACCTCTCTGTGCCCTTAGCCTCGTCTTCCGCCTTGTCTACGCCGCTCGTCGTCGTTTTCGATCCTCGACTCATCACCGGATTGGTGCTCAGCGTGGCCGTGATAGATGTCGAACAACAATATTCATACTCGCATGAGGCATCAAAGTAGTACAAATGAATTTGCTCTAACTGAGAAATTTCAAGCACGTAGAATGAAACCTTTTTTAGCTTTCCATGCATTCAGATTTCGTCCTAGGGATGAAAACAGGTTGGATATGGAACGTATAATGGCTATCCATTATCTTATCCTGACTAGTTCGGGTTTTATAGTTGTTCATAGTCATACAAGATTTGAGTAGAAAATTAAAATCATCTCATACCCAATGGACAATATTTTCCTTTATCTTCTCAACAATTTTGCAATCCCTATTCCGGCCCGTTAAAATTTAGAATGAGCTCATGGCCGGACTTGATTTGATTAGTCACCGTTGTCCAGATACTCTCATAATACTCTCATAATAGAGGTGGAACATTTGGCTTGATCCCTGACTGAACATTTACAAGTACGAACAGCAAAGATGAGGCTTTGACGTTCATTTATCAATTTTACAGCAATTTGAAGGCAAAACACAAAAAAACTACAAGTTACGTCAGTGCCCTCTTTTCACTAGTCCCAGAACCTTAATCTCTGCCTCTTTTCACATCCCTAAAGCCTTTTCCTCAAACCTCACAGGTACCCTTTAAAGAGACGGAGTGCATAAAACATCAATCTCCACTCTCCAGTCCATCTCCAAGTCTGACCATCTACTTAAGAGAGTTGAGAGGCAACAGAACTATAGGCAAGGTCAACTTCTTCTTCAGTCATCTCGATAGTGTCATCGCTGTCATAGCCGGGACTAGATCTCTCGTTATGGTTGTGGTGGCCTGTACTGTTCTTCACCCCTTTGTTATTCGTCTTTGAATCATCATCTAAACTACTGAAAGCTGCCTCATAAGCTTCTTTAAATTCTTTAGCTTGTCTGCAAATGTCTTCCTTTGGGTAAGCGGCTGAACCATTTGTATTACCTAAAAGCTTTAACAGCTCCTCAAGTGCCCGCGGCACGACATTCCACTGATTTGCAATCTTGCGGACATCCTAAGCCAAAGCAATTTTGTTGAAGGATGTATATTTGAATCTGAGTAAGGTGATTATAGGGAACAATTGTGTGGTAACCATATATACCTGATCTTCCTTGAGGGAATCAATAGCATCTTGTAAGCAAATTATGACCCCTTCTGCAGCTATTTGTCTGATCTCGCTTGGCTCAGGCTGTTTTCAAGCAAGAAACAAAGTTAGGCGGGCAAGTGGGATTGCTAATGCATCATAGTGCCAACAGTCATTTATTGCTTTTGCTTTGGCTTCCAACATATTCCAACAGATTGCTTCATTCTATTTGTCTAAATTTAATGAAATGAAGGATCAAAGCCTAGAAAAAACACAGCAGTGCACAAACAAACTCCCGAAATGTTCAGGATTTGGAGGTGCTAGTTAATGCTGCAAGTTTGAAGTAAAGCCTAGAAGATCACGTCAAGGAGCACTAAAGAAACAAACTACCCAAATATTTAGGATTTGGAGGTGCTACTTAATGGTGCACGGTGGAAGTAAATGAATATACAATTATCAAATATATTAACACAAGGAGAAGAATCGAACTTACTTTTTCATCTTGAGTCTCTAGCCATGAGATGGTTTTGTTCAGATCGTCAATTGCCCAGTTCTTCACTTCAGGGCCAGAAAACTGCTTCTTAGTAGTCTTAGGAGCCTTAGTCTGCTGATCAATATGGCAATGTGTTAAGTATTTGACGACTGCAGGTAGTACTACTAGGAAAAATGATCAGACAAGTAAGGTTGATCTTTTGTACCTACTCTAAGTTCAACAATGGGTAACCCAACAAACCCACTTATGAGAGAAAAAAGACGAAAAAGAAAACAACAGAAATCTCACTTCGGTACTAGAACATACACAAAGAAACTAACATTTGATTTTCCTGAGGCAATTGGCCCTGAGTGTGATAGAGTTTCAGATTCTTTTGCACGTTTTCTGGACGGAGATTCCTTTCCTGCAAGAACATCTTGCATCAGAGGCTGTAACTTACCATCCACTGTGAAGCTGAGAATGACTGGTGAAAATAGAACAGCATGCATCAAGCTTTTGATATGAACTGGAGAATTACTACCATGGCTTGACCTATATGACGTCGGATATATAGCTAATGAGGGAAGCGCATGTCAAGTTACAGGGTGGAATTGTTGTTCTTTAACCATTACCAAAGGAAAGGTCACTGAAGTGCATGTTTCAACTACAACATTCCATCTGCAATTTATCACCATTGACCATTATCAAAGCGAAGCATTCATGAGTACAAAAAACCAGCATTACCATTGTTTATCCTTTCATCAGAATCCCGACCCTTTCGCCATGGCTTCCCTGGATGCATGAGGTAACTATCGATTTCGACCAGCCTCTTCTGGCTGTAACACTCTAATATCCACTCCTGAGGCATAGAACAGTTAACCTCACACTCAGCAAGAAGTACAAAGCGAAAGAATCACATTGCACACAGACTCCAAACAATATAACCATTCGAAAAAGCAATAGCCTGTTTCCAGGACACATGCATGTCAAAAGGTTCAATTCTGATTCAAATCAGAGAATGACCAACAGGGAATTGCGGCAGGCGATCAAAGAACACGACGGGGAAGAGAATATGACAATGGGGGAGTTATTACCTTCCTGACAATCGTCCCACAATCGGCCTCAACTTGTCGAAACTTGGGAGTATTCGAATAAGCACAGACCAAAAGCGTGCAATCTGAGCCCCAATCAGGTCGATACTCGGCTCCCATGTCCAGAGCATTGGACCGTAATGTAGCGCGCTCTGGATTAACAAACCCGGACAACACGAACACAACCCCTTCCTACCGCGACAGATTAACAAGAGAACAAAAATACGACTTTGTTCAATTTGCCCAGATTATGGGCAGTAAAAATAAGAAGATGAAGGATCAAGTTTTGAGAACAATGTTCCTACCAAAAGCTTGGAGAATGCTGGCGTACTTGAACTGGGTCCGGCGGATCCTTTGGTGGGTAGGTCTCGGTTGGAAGGGCTTCCAACGTCTTCTTTGTCCCGGGTTTCTTCCTGATTTCTACCGCCGGTTTTAGGGTTCTTCCGAGCGTTTCTACAGGCGGCAACGTTATTGTCGTCTGAATTCATCCAGGAAGGTAAACTTCGCTTGTTACCTCCGCCGCTGTCTTTAGAACTATTCATTGTCGATCACTCGTTATTTGGAGTCTGAGGAAACGGCGAGTCGCTATCTTGGGTCGGAGTTTGGAACTCTCCTTTTCAATTCAGCTGCGCCGTCCACCGTTCTCTGTGTTTGCTCTAGCTGTTGCGCACTTGCGCTGCGCTCGGTCTGGCTGAGTTACTGTTTCTCGTAGTCCCTGTTTCTTTCCGCTGCCTTTCTCAATACATAGAATAAATATAAACATTGATTCATTTTTAACATACAAGTGGACGTGCCGGAGTGGTTATCGGGCATGACTAGAAATCATGTGGGCTTTGCCCGCGCAGGTTCGAATCCTGCCGTCCACGTTTTTTATTTTTTTATAATTAAGGTTGTTAATGTCATGTCATTTAGCTCGTTGATCCGACCGAGCAAGTGGATCAGCGATTAAAATAAAATATGGTACGGATAAGTTACATATTTTATATGAAAAGTTTAATGGATAATTAACTAATTATCATAAACGGTCGCACAACTTGTCACTTAGTACAAAACGGTCACTAACGTTTAATTTTGCACGTTTCACTAAAACAAATTTGGACGAATACCAAATCGATCATTCCGTCCAATTCCATCCAAGAATCTGTTAACTTTGTCCAGTCAGCATGCCATGTCACTTAAAATAGTAATAAAACAATCAATAACCAAAACCAATTAACCCAACAAATCCAAGCGAACACCGTAGGTCCTTACCCACGCACCCCTCGATGTTACCCTCATCTTCTTCCTAAATGCACAAACAAAAGGTGAAATCCCACTTTGCCGAATTAAAACAGAGCAGCAGCTCAATCAAGTATGCAATATCGCCATCATCGCATCCGGTATATGCATAATCGCCACCTTTGGGCATTATCCCCAACATTATGCATCATCACCATCCTTCATCATCATCGCATACACTATCCAATGCCATTGGTAGTCAACTAGTCATCGTCGCCATCAAAGCTTCAATTAACCGTGTCGGGTCTTTGCGGAGAGCCGAAGCTTCAATCGACTGTGGCGGGATTAACATGAAAGAAGGTGGTGGGGGAACTGTGAGGCCAAGGAAGCAAAGACTCACTGGAGGTAACCCAGAACCCAATGACGACACCCTTCTTCTTCTTCCTCCCGAGATAGGAGGATTCTGTGAGAGAAGGACGAACTACTTTCACGCTTCGAAAAGCAAATCGTCGAAGCTGTTAGAGAGCGGCGATTTCAAGCTTCCTCCTTCTCCGATTCCAAGCTTCCACCAAAGCTTCTGGGTCTCATCGAGACAAATAGAGATTGTAGGAATTTAAGGGTTTCAAAGCTTTGAGTTTCTTCGACGAAGAAGAGAGGGGAAGGGATCTCTGAGCTGGGCTATTTTCGGCGGAGTGGATGTTACAAACGGAACAACAACAAGATGAGGATACCGAATCTGGAGCTGAGTCGCGGACTAGGTCGCTTTCTTTAAGACGTTCGCGGCACTGCCCTCGATGCGCACGGCAGACTATCAACCGGTCGTCTCCAGGATAAAACAGCTCCTCTGTGTACTCGCGGTTTTGTGCGAAAACCGGAGCTCTCTGAACACTCTCTCTATTGTGTTTATGCTCGTTGTGTTGTGTTTAGAGGGGCTGGGGAGGCGGCTATTTATAGGAGCCGAACCCCTAGGAATATATCCTGCGGAGATTATCCTTCGAATATTCCTTTTCAATCGATTATCCCTTGGAATATTCCTCAGAGTAACCGATTAATAATTAATTATTAAATAATTAATTTCGTTCGGAATTTCTCCAAAAAATATGTATATAGTCTCAAGTGATCCATCCATCCATCCGGTCGGTCGGACGGACGGACGGCGCCCGCGTGTGTGTGTGGTGGTCCGTTAGGTCCTCCCTCTCCCACAAAAGTGGGTCACCCCAAGGGGCATGCCCTTAGGAGAGAGGCTCCTATCTTTATACTCATTTCACCAAGTAAAACTACCAATGTGGTAGTTTTTCCACTTGAGACTCTATAGCTTTCAAAGCTATTCATACACATTTCCAACAGTGGAGCGGATCTCTCGATGAGGCGATTTTCGACGAAGGATTCAACGTCGATTTACAGCCGCCATCTGGGTTCTTCTCTCTGCGTCTGGGTTCCAGAGCACGAACGCCCTGTCGAAGAATAACTGATGTTGCCATCCCTTTCTCTAGCCAGAAGCTCCGGTTAGAAGAACCCACCTCCGCTTCTTCCATTTTATCCCAAAATCTGCAATTTTAGGACGAAGGGAGGGGAAGAAGATGGGCAATCGCCATTCCCAGCTCGGGATCTGTGGGCGGAAGACAACAAAGGGTTGAACCTTTGTGGTGGGTCGGATCGATTGGTTTAATTGGTTTGATTTTTTTTACTTATGACATGCTGACTAGACAAAGTTAACAGATTTTTGGATGGAATTGGATGGAATGACCGATTTGGTATTCGTTCAAATTTGTTTTACCGGAACGTGCAAAATTAAAATTTAGTGACCATTTTGTGCTAAGAACAAGTTGTGTTATCGTTTATGATAATTACCCTAAGTTTAATAGTATGTCAACAATTATAAAATATGTATAACTAATTATTTTAAAATAAGTTAATATATAAACAATAGTTAATGGCCCCTTGAATTTTTGTACATTGTGTCCGTATGTGAATAAAAAAGCATGAGATCATACACCTGCAAACAATACTGCCATGACCCATCATTATTAGTAATCTCAATCCGCTTTTCCTAATCCGACATGATGACTTCTTATGTAAAACTAATTAATTTAATAAGTTAATATATAAATAATAGTTAATGGGCCCTTGAATTTTTGTACATTGTTTCCTTCTTATGTGAATGAAAAAGCATGAGATCGTACACTCGCAAACAATACTGCTATGGCCCATTCATTATTAGTAATCTCAATCCGTTTTTCCTAATCCGACATGAAAACTTCCTCCGCGCACCTCAATAACGTGTTACACGGGTTTTATACGTGTTTATCACAAGAGTTGTAAAATAAAAAGGAAAAATGAAACGACTTGACAATATTATGGATACAAAAATTTATACAAATATATATATTAAACATAGTATGTACCAACTATACTTGCAGGTGTATAGTGCCTACACTAATTTGCTCCAAGAATTGCGGATCTTTTTCCAAGACCGAAGTGTTAGGGTATTGAAAGAACGCCATGAGCGCCACCGGTGGCCATGTTGGATCACACAACAAGACCGCCGGAATTCTCGCCTACCTCCTCCCCCACTCCACTCTCCAAACGATCTAAGATTGGTGGCGATACGTAGTTTACGGGAAAAGGGGTGATGTTGGTTGAACATGACCTTATAGGCTCTAACGGAATATCCACCTCCACGTCGGCATCGACTGCGAGGCAAGAGCCACCGAAAATCCAAGACCAAGATAAGGGAGCTACAACTCAGAGTATACCACCGACCACCGCTCCGTCGTTGGTCCAAGTCTCGTACAAGGATAAAGTCACCGACAACCATGATGCAACATCCCAAAATCTCGAGGAAGAGGACGAGGAACCCGACTTGATGCATAGTGACGGGGAAGGGGAACCATACTGTCCAAACGTTCGATTCCCTAGAGGTTTCAACTCTCGTCGCAGGTGTCGTTGGCGGCTGGCCATCATCGTTAGGGTTCTGGGGCATTCCTTCCCCTTTTTGTTTCTTCAACGCCGCACCCTCAATATGTGGGAACACACGGGACCTCTCATGGTGGCGGCACTGGGGCAGGGTCACTACTCGGCTAGGTTCACAATGGAGCATGATTATGAGAGGACACTTACTGGTGGACCATGGATGATTGAGGATCACTACGTCCTCACCCAGTCGTGGCAACGAGGATTCGAACCAAACGATGTAGATTTATCTAGTACCTTGGTTTGGGCACGTCTCCCAAAATTGTCGATGGATTACTACGATGAAGAGCTTCTCACCAACATTGGTAATTTTGTGGGTGAATATGTGAAGATGGATGAAGCTACCAAACAAGCTACAAGAGGTCACTTTGCTCGGATATGTGTGGAGGTTGATTTAGCTAAGCCTCTTATATGCAAATACAGACTGGAAAGAAGAACAAGGCGAATTGAGTTTGAAGGCCTACACAAAATTTATTTTGAATGTGGGCAATGATAGAGATATAATTTAGAATAGAACCCATATCATTTTACAGAAGACCATGCCATCACACCATCACCATTATTTCCCTCCACCATTGCTCTGCTCTCGCCATCTATCCATCTTCAGAGAACCATGTGATAGCTTTTACTCTTCTTATCTTCTGCCAACTACACATATAACCATCTACCTATTTTACTGTTTGAATGCATGTATATATATAGATAGCTTGTACTATTGTATCAACTCAACAGAAATAGATTCCATCAATAGAATTACTCTTTACATACTTCCACATGGTATCAGAGCACAGAAGCATAAGTGCTCCGATCACTTAACCTAGCCGCAAATCTCCAAGCCACACAATCTGCTATTTTTCTTGCTTCTTCTCCTTCCTTCTCTTCGACAACAACAACTTCCAAAAACCCCCAACTCACCGACCCAAATAGAAAACAACCACCCCAAGCCGGCCGCACATCTTCTCCGACTTCTCCACCGAATTGGGAGATAGATACAACAATTTTTTTTTAAATCCTTCCTCTCTATTAATTAACATGTCTGATTCCCCATCAAACGGCGACGGCTCTGTGGTGCTCCCACTCACCCAATCCGGCTTCACAGCTCCCCACGAAGTTAAACAAAAATAACTTCCCTCAATGGCGTGCACAGCTGCTAACTCTTCTTCGTGGTCTGGATTTGCTGTCATTTGTTGATGGCACAAAAACAGCACCGGCAGAAGACGCTCCTGGACGCAATCGGTGGTATCGTCAAGATCAATTGATCTTACATGCTATATTGTCCTCTGTATCTGATGTGGTGTCTCCCTATATCTCGGCATCAATCACCGCCCGTCAAGCATACTCCATTCTTGAGAGAATGTATGCAGGAAATTCTCGATCTCGGATCATTGGTTTGAAGACCCGGCTTGTGCAAGAAAGACAAGGCAACCGTTCTGTCT